CAGAGATAATTCATAGGATCTGAATTAACACTTAAAGGAAAACTTTTCAGGGCTTGTTAGTATTTTAAAAGTGAGGAGGAATGTGGACAGTTCAGTAAAGGATAAAAAATCTAATTAAAGTTTTACAACTAAATGTCCATGAAGGGCATGAAAGCAATATACTCTGTATGACTTGATGTAAAAAGTACCTTTGAATGGTTCTTCTCTTTATCTTACCTGTTGATAACTAATGGTGCTGCCCCTTATGCTCAGGTCTACTACTATGCTGAAACCCAGACAACACACATCACCTACACAGATGGAATGGAGGTGCTGCACTTCGCCAACAATCAAACAGGTGAGAGCAGATGATGAAGCAGTGAAATTGCCAGGAGACAAAAGCTGCTGGGCTTTTGGCATTAGTGAGGTAATATTCTCATCTCATCTGAGTGCAGAGTAATTCTAAAATGATATAACAAGAGTGATAAACAAGATCTGCGTCAGAAATTGGTTGGGTGGGGAACTCCAGGCCTCAAGGGCCGGTGTCCTGCAGGTTTTAGATCTCACCCTGGGTGACCACACACCTGAATCAAATGATTAGTTCATCACCAGGCCTCTGGAGAACTTCGAGACATGTTGAGGAGGTCATTTAGCCATTTGAATCAGCTGTGTTGGATCAAGGACACATCTAAAACCTGCAGGACACGGCCCTTGAGGCCTGGAGTTCCCCACACCTGGTTTACTGCATCATGAGTTCTCCAAAGTAGCAATCTTGAAATGCACTGTTGGAAGCAAATTGGCTTTTCTGTCCCATCAAACAAATTTGTTAGTACTACAGTAAGAGAAAGTGCTTAAGTACTGCAAATAAAATATGAGGCCATTTTAGAGTAATTCATCATAACAGCTCTTTAATATATTAAAGACTAATTATTTTTATTAATTGGTCTTTAAATTTACAGGGAAACATGCAGTGCGTTCTTAAAGGTTTTCCAATTCAAAAGTCAGATATTCACTTTACTGTAAGAAGGATAAAATAAAGTAATTTTAACACAACAGTACTTAAAGTAAAAGTCCACAAGACAAGCATGAGAAAGGAATTTCCTTTCTCATGCTTGTCTTGTGGACTTTGGACATGTGTACCAACTCATTCTACATAAATTTTTATTCCTGCTTCAGAAAAGCATTTTCCCGACGGCCGTAAGGAAATCACCTTCCCAGACCAGACAGTAAAGAACCTTTTCCCTGATGGCAGGGAGGAGAGCGTACTGACAGACGGGACCATCATCCAGGTTAACTCGTAAGTCGACCTTATATTTACCTTTAATCAATTTCCCTTACTACCTTTATAACAAAATGTGTTTTTTTTTGCACGATATCCCTTACCAGACATGTACTCATAACTTAATTTTTGTAGGACTTCCGTACCCCTTTCCACTTCTGCACTGGGCCCCACAAGTGATATTTAAAATGACAAGGAAAAAACCAAACAAACAAAAAAAAAACAGCTAGCAGAAAATACGACTCATTTTTCCATCATATGGGAAAGTCAGATATTGTGAATGTTGGAGAAGGAAATAGCAAATACTTCATAAAAGAGTGATGATAACAGGTGGTGCTACAATTTTCAGTCTATTATGTGTTAATAGATCAAACAACTGACTAATGGTTAAAGAAATTGAGTATTACCACCACTCAAGACTAACTGGGCATGTATACATGCCATTTCTCTCAGGGACGGCACCAAAGAGATCCTTTTTAACACAGGCCAGAAGGAGATCCACACAGCAGAGTACAAGAGGCGAGAGTATCCAGATGGCACAGTGAAGACCGTCTATGGAGATGGGAGGCAAGAAACCCGCTACCCCACCGGGCGGCTCAGGATCAAAGACAAAGATGGAAACGTCATCCTGGATACCAAGGTGTAGAAAGGTGGTGAATCTCAGTGACTGTGAAACTTAAAGCATTTTTATTATTGCAGCTATCGTTCAAACTGTGAAAAAATCCAGGACATCAGAGAAGGATGTCTGGAGAATTTGGTGCTTTGTCTTTATTTATTTTCTTCACATGTGATAACAGATATAGGTGAGCTTTGGACATTTTGTTTTAACGATGTGACACAATCAACAGTTCAACCTGCTTTGATATTCTTGAGTTGACACTCCTTGCTTCTGAGATTCACAAATCAGCTTGTTGTTGTTTTTAAATACTTCTGTCTATATGTAGCAAATAGAGTGACGTGACACACTTTTGTGCCAGTGGTTTTACGCCCACCCACTAAAGCACAACTGGCAGTGGCACAGGCTCAACAAGCACTACCCATGGGTGTAAAAATGAAAAACAGACCAATAAATAAATGCCGGTTTAACAAACTGAGTAGACTTGGCGTTATAGAGGAGACAAAAGGAATGCAACACAATACACCTCAGTCTTAGATTCACAATGATTCTGAACAGGACCTTCTTTTGCACAAAAATCTGGGATACTTTTTAATAATTCAGCGAGTCCAACAATGTTTTGACTTAACCCCCTGGGTTTGTTCAAAGTCACCACCCAGTCAGCTTGTTCATGGCCAAAAGTGTCCACTAACAGATTAGGTCTGTAATTTTTATGGGGGTTTTTTTTGCAATTTTTTCTGCATAAAGTTTTGAACTACCATTAGTTCTTTCCATAAATATTAAATAGTTATTACTTTTACATTTTTAACCTGTTAGTTTGTATAATGCACGTGTTGGAAGACAACCTCAGAACTCATAATTTCATATATTCGCAGTGCTACTGGAATTTTTTGTATTATTAACAGTAGAGTCTGGGAAACGTAATTGATTTACATTAACATTGATTATTATGAATTGTGCTCGAAAGACACACATTCCTCCGATTCTATGTGGTTTATCGCCGTGGTAGGTTTGGTGACGCCACAGATGAACAACAAAATCTTCCTCTGTTGCAACTGGAGGAGCCGGAGAGGTAGCTCTAGGTTGTTTCCCCTGTGCCAGTTTTCATCTGAGGAGTTCCTCTGCCAAGGTGACCATAGTAAAGACGTTGTCCTTGGAGCTCCTCTGTCAGTTGGAGTCTGAACTCCTTCCCCTTTTTTACTTCCTGAGAACTACCAGTGTTGTCATCCAACATGCTACGTATTGCTTTATTCTGGGGCAGGCTCACGTCTCCACTTCATCTATAATCCTCCAATCCTCACACCTTCACCTCCCGTGCAGGTTTGTAAGGGTGCACAGCAGGCAAAAGGATCTCCAGAAGTAAAAGTGCTTTCAGCATGTGCTTCAAAGCTCAATAGCCTGCATCAACAGAAATTCACTGCAGCCTATTTAATATTTGATGTGTCATCATTTATTCCAGTATCTTGCAAATACATGTTTGTGTTTGTGCATGACATTGCAGCACAAACTGTTAGATCCTTAAGATCAAACCTACGTCAAAATTGTGTCATTCTTTTGGTCCATTGGGAGTGCGGTAAGCCATCAAACACCCTATTGGAAACTAGGAATATTACCTGAAATTGCTTGTTTGGCCAAAAATTGGTAAATTATGTAATTTGGTAAAAAACATTAAAAACTACAATTCATGTGTTGAGTTTAGAATGAAAGCAATTTTACCTAAATTGCACGATTTAGTACTGTCAATAACAAGGACTCAAATGTTATTATAACAGGTTTCAACAGGCCAAGAATGGCCACGATAGAGCCCAGAGGGTTAAACTTTCTCCTACTATCCTAGTTTTGTCTTGCAAGACAGCCTGTCTGTTTGTCTCAGGATATTCCTGCTTAATATCCAAACCACGACCTGCTTTCGTCTGCCGTGGATGAACATTTGTAGTTAACTCGTGTTTGCAACTATTTTTATTTGTAAAAATGTTAAATGCATATTTATTTGCCTAGCTGGCTGTACATATTTTTTTGTAAAATACATTTTCTTTTAAAATTTATTTATTTTTTTAAAAATCTTTGAGTGTTTTTGTAGAGACTGTATCACATCGTCCTTTTCATTGCACCTTAGTAAAAACACACTGCAGAGGTCAGTGAACATGGGAATATTTTACTTAGCACCTTCATACAGTAAAACAAACAAGAAAACAAAGTGCTACATAAACGGCTTAAAAAAACAAGCAAACTTAAATCTCTGCTGTGCAGGAACAATAAAATTAAATAGAACATTTCTGTACTATATAAAAACTAGGAACACAAATAGAACAATAAAAAGAAAACCAGAAGATCACAAAACCTGAACTGAAAACAAACTGAGCCAGGAAGCCTGAAAAAGATGATAAATTTATTATTAGCTTGCTGTTCTGTTTATTAATAGCAAGCTACTATTAAGTCACTTCAATATACAGTTCAAAAGATTCTGCTGGTTACTTTTATTTCTTTGCAACATTTAGTATCTGATCCTGTTTGACTTTAGAGCCACAACAAAACGTTGAATCACAATTCTCCACAACACATTTAAACAGCATTGGTTCATCAGCCACAGTCTAATGGGGTCTGTATTTAACTGTGTCCTGTGGAACTGGATGCTACTCACTCTCTTTGTTAAAGTTAAGAATGACTGTGGACAACTGGAATCATACAGATTCAGACATTTCAGAAAGCATTCTTTCTAAAGAAATTTTGGTGCTTGAAATAAAATGCTAAAAACTTACCTGAACAGTGTTTGGAGGGTGTCTTTCCACTTTACTCAAGTTCCGCCAGTCCTTTGGTCACCAGAGGCAGATGGACTAACTCTCCATCCTCGCTGTACAGCAGCACTGTGAGCTCTGGTTCTTGAACCTAAACCGAGGAGGACAGTGAGATACTGACTGGAAGCAAACAAAAAAATTCTCAGGCTGTGAGACCAAAGATTTGACAGTATAAAGAGTGCAACACAGGACTTATTCTGCCTGATTTGAAGTTATTAGGTAGTCTTGTTTACATACACATTTATTATTTATTAGTTACACAATGGCAGTGCCCGTTGGTGGATCCCTTAAGTCAAAATTTATGATAAAGATTCATTAAGATGCTGGAAATCTTCAACACATTTGGCACCATATCAACATGATGGAGCTAGCCCTATTCTACAGTGGTAAACAAAATACTTTTAGCTTTTTGAATTGTGAGGATTTGTGCATTCAGAACATAAAACTGCAGCTTGATTTCCTTGAAGACAACGAGGCAGTATTTCCACGGCCTCTTTGTTACATATAACTCCAGGGCTTGGCAGAGAATAACTATGGTCACCATATTTTAGTTTTCTTCTGTATGAAAAGTGAATTACTGATATTACATTTGCTCTTGACCTTTATATATAAACGTATGAAAAATTTGTTTGTATTTACAAGAAAATCAGAAGTGCCACGCAGAATAAAAGGGTCATGAAGGCAGTAAATAGGACTGCTAGTAAAAACTGAATTAAGGAAAGCAGGTTTACATCTGCTGAGAAAACATTTTCAGCAAGGACATTTATCATGTTTGTTGTGTTATCTTAGAGCTCACATTTAAAGATAACACAGCTAGTTTAGTTTAGTACTGTTTCCAAAAACCTATCATGGTACATTTTTAATGACATTTCTTTAATAAGTGAAACATATGTCTTTTGACTGTAATTTCTTAGTTTTAAAAACAGTTATGTTGTGTGTGTTTCATACCACAACGGAGGCTGTGATCTTTTTGTGTAACAGGTCGATCATTTCCATTGCAGCCTTCATGCTCCATTTGGGGCTGTAGGGCAGCACATTTTCCTCCCTTGTGACACTCGGAGCTTTGAAGCCAGCAACTTTGACTTTTAGTGCCCTACATGGAAACTCCAGCAGCTCAGCTGGCATTTGGCGCAGCCTGCCAGGAAGCAACACATTATGAGAACGCCACTCAACACATCCGCATGTCCACATCATCTGTTTATCAGTAGATAAACCCCATTCAGGGTGGGTCTCAAAGAAATTCAAAGTTAAACAAATAGCAGCTTAAGACTGGAGCCTACATTAAAAGCCAGGATATCTTTTTCTTATCTGGCTTCACTTACACCAACATCAGGAGTCAGGCTAAGCGGTCACATGATGGTGTTTATCAACTGGATTAAGTCACCCTAGGGTTTCTCAAACTAGCTGCGAGTGTGTTCACATAAAACAGAAAGCAATGGCAGCATATGCTCAAAACTCTACTTGCTGATTAATTAGTTACCATGATGATTTACCCAGTAAGTGAACCACCTATGTAATACTGAAAACCCAGTTTAACTCAGTGATTTTGTGTCAGCATTGTCACCAGAAGATATATCCCTCTCACTTCTTCTCCACATCATTTCTCTACGACAAGCCACAAATTTAATGCCCATAAAGTTTTCCAACACTTGGTCTGTAGTATGTTTGGACATTTTCTCATACTTTTCAGAGGAAGTTGGCTAGTAGGATGATAAGATTCATACTTGCTGGTAGGTAGAGTGTCATCAGAGCCAAAATCGACGTGTTGTACCAGGAGCGTGACAGGTTCTGCACTGATGAACTTCATCAACCTGGCTCGATAGTACTTTCCATCACTGTACTCAGCGAGACATGGACCACCTGGAAACCACAGAGCGTTGGGAGGCCCCAACTTAGTGAGTCTTGCACAGAATCGTCTGCGACTTGGTGACTGCTTGTCATCCGGTAAAAAGCAACAGTATTCCTTGCTTTAAGTCATCTTCAGTGTGTGAACAGATACATGAATAGAGGAGGGAGAGGAGGGGGAAATCAAGCATGTCACTGAAACACGAAAAGCCACATTAACATTTGATGAAATGCTACATGCATGGTAAACATTGCGTATATTTCCAAAGATGGGGACCATCAAGTACAAATACTTTGTTATTGTACTTGTAGAATTTTGAAGTATCTGTACTTAACTGGAGTATTTATTTTTCTGACAACCTTTTACTTTTTTAAGACAAATCTCTCTTCTTAAAACTCTACATTTTCAAAATGGTTACATCTTGACAATTCTAATAGATTTGAATCTAAATGTAGGAAACATTAACACATCCTACTGGTGTATCCATCACTGTTGCCTTCTGTCAGCGAAGAAAGAGACAAAAATCATACGATTTATACATCATTGACAGCACTAAACTTAGAGGTTAAAATGAGCCCTAATGAGCTACAACAGTGTTTTTGGTGTTGAAGTCCACAAGTTGTGGTCATGGTCAGCATCTAGCTAATGCACATAAAGAGTGTAGGACTTATTTTAGGTGACAAGTAATTTCAATATTTTGACATTTCTAAAGGGGTCAGAATACCCTTTGCATTGGTCACGTTGCACACTTCTGTAACATCATCACACAGTCACTACTATTTATGTCCACCATTAAGGCACAGGAAGCTGCTGCAGTATTCTCCTGAACGATAGGTGTCGCAGCTTAGACAGCACTGCCACATAATCGCTATTACAGGAAGGTAAGAAGTCAAAACTGGAGGCAAAGACTTTGCAGTGTGAATGAATCTCCACAACTGCTTAAGTAAAGGATATCTGTGCTTCTAATATCTCTGTTCATTTCAGATATAATTCAATGATGTTACTTGCTTAAATCTTTTAAATCTGTGTCTGGATAAAGTGAAACATTACCCTCGGGGAAGTTGCCAAGTTGTGGCAGCGTGTCAATGTTTCTATTGATTCTGGTCAAAGCTTCATCTAGAGACTCTCCGTTAACCTTTACATGAGCCGTTCCTTCCAAAGGCCACAGGAAGAGCTGCAGGGGAAACAGAACAATCTCTTATTAACACCATTATTCTTATCCGCTTTGTTTATTATAAACATTTTTTATATGACAACAGGAATTATGTATATAATTTATAATGTAGAGAGTAGCTACCTCATTGGGGGTACACATATGCTTGACCACAACTTTAAAGTGCTCCCCCTCCTGTTGCAAGTTCGGGTAGGTAAAGGACCCCAGCATTAGCTCCTCTGGGTCTCTCAAACCCTGAAAACACATCATCATTATTGGTCCTATACCCCATCTGCACACTAGGTGGAGTAGAGACTCTGATGCATCTACATAGGATCTATTTATGCACACTATAACACAGGAAACAGATCTAAAGCATAACTTGCTTTAATTACTGTAAAAAGCTTACAGCTTGAGTAATATTATAGGTCTTATAATATCAATGAAAACTGCCCCCAGGTACATGAGAAGACGACCTTGATGGCGAGATCAGCCAAATTTACACATTTCTTCAGTCTTATTATAATACCTCAGTGTTAATATCCCAGACATCAAAGACGGGAGCAGTAGGCATCACTGTGAGGCGCTGCAGAGAAGCACGCATACTCCTGAGTAAATTACTGGCATTGCTTAATTTCGGAAAAAACAGTCTATCACACACAAAGACCTTATCTGGCAACACAGTCCGATCCACGGAGGCATGTTCATGTTGGCAAAGGATCCTGCTGAGGCTCAAACCATCTATGAAGAGCTCAACAGTGACAGGTCCTCTTGGATCAGCTGGCAGCTCCTACCGAAAAACAAATGCACACAAGGGATCATATACATATAATTGTCCACATATGTTTGATATGACTCATTTGTGCATTTTTACCACAACGTTCATGTCCACACTGCGGTTTAGTAACACCTCTCTCATCAAGGCCACTGCATCCTGCTGCCATTTACCACCAACCTGAAGAAACAGAGGCGCAAAAGTATAATCATTTCACTTTGATTCTATTGTATTCAAGAAAAACATTGTAATTAGGCTCTCATTTTAGAAACTATAACTGGCTTTATGGAGGAGGTAATCTTCTGCTGCTCTTCAGGGATAAACATTTATTCCATCAGCAGTCTTTTTTAAAAAAATAAAAGATGGATGGAGTGACAGACACAATCTCCTCCTTACAGGGTTGATGCCAAGCAGCTGGCAGATCATGCAGAGCTGAGGTACATCGTCACACAGGAGGATGGGGTACACATGAACCACCGGGATGTTCTCCACCAGACCATAATCGACATACTGCACCTGGTAATATAAACATGAACAAAAGTTGTATTAACGTACCATCAAATGAATGTTTTTAAATGTTATATGCAGTTTAGCATATAATATTGGTAAATGGACTGGTTCTTATATAGCGCTTTTCTACTCTGAGCACTCAAAGCGCTTTATACAACTTGTTCATTCACCCAATCACACAAGCAATTTTCTAAGTTGTCAGTGCTACCTAACTAACATTCATACACATTCACACTCTGATGCATGCATCGGAGAGCAACCTGGGGTTGGTATCTTCCCAAGGATATTTGGCATGGAGACTGGAGCAGACTGGGATCGAACCAACAACCTTCCAGTTAGTGACCCGCTCTACTACCTGAGCTACAGCTGCCATTGATGACATATTGTAGTTGGAATATCAGAGATTATTCCATCAAGTGTAACTATTGATGGTAATACTAAATAAGCAACATATATTACTTTTTATATCACTAAAGCTAAAAATACAGTCAATTTATTCTCAGTATCTTACAGAAATCTATCCATTGTCTGGCCTAGCAACCATTGTCTTGGTTTTAGCTTTTCTCTTGTTTAAATGCAAAATGCATTTACTTTAAAAGTACTCAAGGAAATAAAAAAAAACGGACCTTAACATGCCCTCCCAGCACTTCCAGCAGCTGTCCTCGGTACCACAACATGTCAGGTCCAATGACAGCACAGCCCAAGACTGATTTCCAGGTGTAGGGCTTCTGTCTGGGCAATGCCTTCATGCTCTGCTGAATCCTCTCCTTAAGCTGCTCCAGCTGATAACCTGACAGATGACAAAATATATTTTAACTTTCACTTTAGACAGGTACACTTAATCAACCTAATACAATAGAACAGATACAAACAGCAGCACTTATTAATGACTGTTTTTAACAACAGGACTGTTCTTAAGGTCCAGCCCTGACAGCTAACTTTGACAGTTACTTCTCCTTAAAGCATATGCAGCACAGTTAATATATTTTAAGCCCAATTTCCTTTCTATGATAAGATGTAAGCTATGCAAGTATGTAGAGGTGAAAAAATATATAAATAAATAAAAATAATGGCGTGATCTTTTGTGTACCTGCATTTTGTGTTCTCACATAAATGAGACCGTCCTCTCCAACAGCAGAAATGCTTATCTGAATGTGACCAAGACATGGCAGCTCTGGGGGTTGGTACAATGAAGTCTTTACCTGCATACACAGACACACACAAATATTGGCTTGGAGAATTATTATAAACCACATTATCATTAATGACATTTTTGTCTATTTTTATAACACATAAAATCTTGGTGTGTGCATAATCACCTTCTCAGCTGTCATAATGGAGCGAGGGGCTGGTTTTGGAGGCATGTGACCACTGACAGTGGATGACTGGAAGGGGAAGGAAATAACAGGAACAGATGGGCAACTGGTTTCTGTCTCACTCTTGTTTTGTACCTCTCTCACTGTAGATGGTGGATCCATGTCTTTGGGTTGCTGAACATTAATATTGCTGCAACAGGGCAAAGCCACAAACAAAAGACAGGATAAACATTAGAAACATTTGCTTAAACTGGAATATCAACTAGTGGTTATAAAAAATAAATAAATAAACTCTGCTGTGTCTGGTTTTCTTATATTTACAATATTTCTGATGTTATGCAATGTACAGAAGTACAGGGATTCAGAAGAGGTTAAGAGAGATTATTTGGAGAAGGAGAATAAGACTGTGCACACCAACACACCTGACCCCACAATGCATGTGGAACATGCACTCACACACCTTGGTTTTCTTTGCCTGAGCGCGAGGCCTTCACTAAGCAGAAAGTCTGCAATGCTGATAAACTCTCCCATTCTATTGGAGCAGAACAAAGTGACAGGTACTGGACGCTCATCTGTTAACTCCTTGAAAATGAGAAAGAAGTAGAGAGAAACACACTTTGAAAAGCAGAAAAACAAACAAACAAACAAACCCCCCTACCCCAAAAAAACAGGCAAAAATCAAAGTAGAAAGAAACTGGGCGATAATGGGTGGAAAAGACAGGAAGACCTTGATCGTCATAACAGCCGAGGCTCCTGTCAAGTAGTAGGAGAATGAGTCACAGGCTGTATTTGACCAGGTAGATCGGCCTCCCGCGGGCCTAAAAGGGACAAAGAAACACAAACTGGAGTACACCTTTTATCCAAACCAGAGTACTGAAATTGTATGGCAGCAAAATCAAGCTGTCACATTATAGTAAAACTAATGGGGACACATATATATACACCATTACAAAACTGTAACAGCACATTAACTGATTAAAAACTTAAAAAAAAAAAAATCAGAGGTTTACTGGTTAACATAACTACTATGATTATTATTATTATTATTATTACTGTCAAATTGTCATACTGTGACATTACATTTAAATTAAACAACCTGGCCCTACTTCTTATTGGCAAATATATTATACATGTGTCCTTGTTTGTAATTAAACTCTGTGAATGTCTGTGTGTGTGTAACCTGATGTCGTGAAGAGTGCACTCAAGTGCTAGGGAGCCAATCAAGGAAGATGGCAACGGTCGCAGGTTACTGACATCGATCTTCATCATCTTTCCGTGATCGCACAGTCTCACCTGGTACCAGCCAGCAAAGACATAATCAGTGTTGATAATGCTATAATTATGCATTTAAAGAGAAATTCTAGTATGTCTGGACAGCTGTTATGAATCAATGGTTTGACCTCACTTTGCACCCTTAGAGGTAACAGAAAAAGTCATGCATAACAATGTAAATCAGAGCAGTCCTACAACCTTCCCATTAAAAAAAATAAATAAAAAAATAAAAAAATCTTTATTATCTGAAAGTATCAAGCTACAGTTACCATTATATTCAACTGAAAATGATATACATCTCTGCCAACATGCAGTTTATTGGATTTTAAAAAAAGATTATTTACACTACACTACATTATTTACATTATTAACACTGACTTTCAGTGCCGTTTAACTCTTGGATTAAAAGAAAATAGTTTGATGATGCTTTTTGGGAGCAACACTTGTTTTACCTCTGCACTGTCGCTAGATGTGACGTCAGAGCATATCTGTGCTCTCTCCCAAACTCCATTAAAGAGTGCAGCACAGTACATATCGGCCTTCCATTCCACATCCTGGGGCTCTATTTGTGCACACTCCTGCTTTATCAGTTCACATATCCTGAAAAAACAAGCAACATGACAGTAGGGGTGTCACTGTGTCAGGACCTCCTTAACAGCTGTAGAGTAACGTTATGAATTTACAACATAAAGTGCCTTGAGGCCCAACACCTGTTCTTTTTTCCTCCACACAGTTTCCTCAAATTTTTAAAAACATGCTGCACACAATGGCAAGATATGTCAATTTTTCTATTAATATTAATTCTATTAATTTTCTATTTATATCTGTCGACTATTTGAAAAAACGTGGTTGTGCAAAAATAGTATTACATCTTTAGTGTTTTTCATACATCCAACTAAAGAAATGGAACAAACGATGCGTTTTGGCTGCTACTATAACAATCTTAAATTGTATCAGAACTAATCATTTGCATTTCATGCCTTGAGTTGGGCTTTTTTTTAAATGCTTGAATGATTCAGAGATCAGTTTTAAGTGACCTAAGCAAAAAACATTCCAATGAAAATGATAAGGTAATGATAAGACCACTTAAAAATGACAAGAATGTCTGGAAGTAAAATAGAAAGAAACAAGAAGAGGCTCAAAACATTTACACAGTATTATATTATGGGAGTACCAACCAACTGCTTTATATGTTGTGATTTGTGTGCTAGTGCTCAATAAGAAGAGGGAGGAAAAAACAAAACAAAACAAACAAAAAAAAACCCAGTTCAGTTCTTAACTTGCATTTCAAGTCAGCCAGTCAACCTATCATACAGTAAAACAGCTAAATCTAATTAATCTACAACCTAAATTACTTGTCAAGATACTAATTGGCTCAGCCTAGAGCTAGACTTAAATCTAGGGGTGACCGCGCTTTTGCCCTGGTTGCATCTAATCTGTGGAACAACCTTCCCATCGCTATCCATGCGTCAGACTCCATTTTATCTTTTAAATCCCATTTAAAAACTCACTTATTCAACATAGCTTTTCCATCTAGTTAGTGTCCCCATTTTATATGTGGTTCAATATTTTATTTATGCACTTCATCTTTTAGCTATATCTGTTCTTAGTAACTTTGTTCTTATATTCCCTTTTATTGCTGTATAATTAGTGCCCTCAACCTGATGACATATGTGGTACTTTGTTTTATTTAATCATGTCTTAATTTTCCTGTTTTTATTGTAAAGCACTTTGGTGTACCGCTGGTTTTTTAAACGTGCTATACAAATAAAGTTGTATTGTATTGTATTGTACTAATAACTGCTAACAGGACCTAAGTAGTAAAGAATGAGCATTTTGAGTATGAGTATACAAAAGTACAGATAATTCTTGGATGAATGACCTATCTGTATAAATAGTTCATTCAAGAAAATGATATAATCATAATGACCATCTTGCTTTTTAAAAGCTGACCTTTTGAGCTGAGAGTCATACTGGGCGAAGCGGACATAGAAGCTGCTTGGAGAGTTGACATGGCAGACTCTCACTTTCAGGTCTTTGAGTTGGGCAGGGAGCTTCAGCTGAGGCTCAAGTGGGTCCTCTTTTTGGTTTCCAGAGATTATTTGGTCTGGGACATCAACTAGCCCTGTTGCTAATCCAACCTCAAGTGGAGGGTCCCATATGGCTGAATCATCACCAGAGGGCCAGGCATTCTTAGGGTTCAGGCTACATCAGAAGGGATGTAAATGGACAGTGAAAGAAGAAAATTAAGTGAACTGGAAACAATGTACATTAAATTGGCAGAAAAGTGCAATGATTGATTGTAAGGAACAACCCCCCCCCCCAAAAAAAATTAACTAAATAAAGAGGTACAACAAGCACAAGATACATTAAATTCTTAAAGTTAGAGCATGAAAAATACTGCATCATTTGACTGCAGTTAACTGAGTTCTGTTTTCTTACCCCTCTGAACTCAAGGACATAATCCTAGCTACGGTGGCTGCTGTTCATCTTTGGTGAATGTAGAATGTCGGTCCCCTGTTTACCTCGCATCTGCCAATATGTGTTCATGTCCATTTACTGTGGGGGAGGCTATAAAACTTTGTGAGAAGAGCCCGGGGTGAGTCAACGAGTCTGTGCAGCTCACCTCTGTCCAATAACAGCAATACTGAGGTGAGTTGCTGAGGATATCCTGAACTCTAGCAAAGAACTGGAACGTTTACTGATAGTTTTAGCCGGAGTTACTGAAACTTTCTTTGAACTTGATCTAACGTTGTTGGACTGAAAGCGAATAAACTCTAATGCGGTGTGAAAATGTAATGAAATTGTTATCAGATGAGAAGTGTGACCTTTAGCTTGCATAATGTTAGCTTCTAACCAGCTATAGTTATACCTCATTGTCAGTTGCACAGAGATAGGAGAGACATGTTTATTCTGCTGACATGAAGTAATTGAGACAATATCAGGAATAAATTTGCATATTTATGGAGCCTTTCCGACGTTAGGTCATGAGATGAGGCTAGAGGTGAGGAGGAAGAGGATAACCTTATATCCAGATACTGGTAACGTTGTCTCTTTTCCTTTTCACTTCTTTGGTGAAGGGTGCCCCTTCTCAGATGGTAAAACATAGATCCCTCATATCTCTAATTAAAATCTGCTTCCACGGCAAGTGAATGTCTACAAGCTCTCTTTTTCTCTGCCTTTGGCGTGCTATGTGGCTGGTCTGTAGCCACATACATGAGCCATGATTAGGGGCAATGGTGATGTCCATCTAAGCCACTGTATTCAAGATTTGGGTTAACATGGCAGCTTTGACTACCCAGTACCCATTTTTAATCGATTAATTCTAAGTTTACAATCATTTCATTATGATCAATTTGTTGGAAACATTTACCCACTAATCAAATGAATGCCCTTATTTATCACGAACACTTTCTATTGCAAGTTCTATATCAAACTTGGGAGAACTAACCTCTCTTTGAAGCAGGCCAGCTCCTCTTTGACCAGCAGTTCAGCAATGTTGGTTAGTGGCTCATTCACCTCACCTTGAAACAGTTTTACTGGGAGAGGCTCAGACTTAGGGCCTTGTCCTGGAAGGGGCATACACACAACAAAAGATGACATACATGGCTTTTTTGTGTCCTATGTTTACAGAGGAACTTATGTTTTACACTTCAATTAACAGTACCTGTAGCTATAATAGTAACCAGTTTTTGGTTTGCTAGGCTGATGAATCTGTTAGTACACGCATCGGTCCAAGACTCTCCATCCACAGGAATCACATCAGACAAACAGCAGTTGATTGCCTGCACACAGGAAGTCATTTCCTGTTGACTTAAACCAACGCTATTGAAAATTTTAACACAATATAAACAAATACACGTACATTTTCATTTTATGATAAAATATTAAACAAAATGCCAAAATAAGGTGGCAAATACACCAGACCAGCCCACCCAAAGCGCTTTGAGAGTCTCGAAAAGCGCTATATAGATGCAATCCATTATTATTATTATTATTATTATAACTAAACTCTATATGTGGGAAACACTGATAACTTTCAACCTTATCAAGGAATGAGCACACACCCTCATGTTAGACCATTTTAACAGAACTGAACTGGAGTCAGAAATAAACTCATTTTGCTGGATGATTTTTAGGTATATTACTTTTGTTCACAACTTACAGATACTGTAGATTCTGTTTACATGCAATAAATTCCGATAATGAAGAATAAAAAAATTTAAAAAAATACATAAAATTCTGTGCTCTCACCCTTGCAGGAAGGGCAAAGAACTCATTTTTGATCTTCCTCAAGTCGCTGACTGACAAGATTTTCCTGTTGCCAAAGTCAACAAACTGAACCTCCACTTTTCTTCCCCCTGGATGCCCTACACAGATGCACATAGACAAATAGTTACATTAGTGTACAGCAAAAAATTTTTTTTTGCTAAACAAAAGGTTTAAGAGAAGGTTGAAGATTAAGTGGAAAAAAAAATTATGTATGAAGAAATATCTTCATCTCTGCTAGTCGATAACAAGTATTTGCAGCCTGAAAAATTGCCATGGCAATCTGCTAACAACCAAAGAATCACAAGTCTTTTTTGCAGCATTTTCTATGTAACTAATTTGCATCAGGAAGAGCCAGAAACCACTGCCAGCCATTTTCCCTTAGCAACCGATGTTTAGATCACATCCAATACCAACAGCCTAAAATGAAAACCCACAACCTCGACAGCCTTAACTAATAGCATGCACACATGAACATTTTCTGTAAATGTTTCTGTTGTTTTAACAAAGCCAAATGCTTACTGCCTCAATCGAACAGTTCCAGTTTTAACCTAGCCTAAATTAACTCCAGTCGAGGATGAGAACCACGGAATTGTTTTTGTTTTGCTAACAAAAATGCTGCTGCTGTTAAATAAACCAGTGTTTCTGATTAACATTCAGTTGTCATTTTTTTAAAACTTGTAACAGTGCATGTTTTAACTATGCAGCTGTTTAACAAATTATGAAAAATAGAAAATGTAGATTTAGCACCATTTTATCTGTTCAGCTGCTTTTCAAACGCTTATGTCCACTAATTACAGATTACAAAAGCCCAAATAATTTAATGCTGTGTGGGACATGGTTTAGCATGATTTTCTGCCGTTTTGCTTGTATAGCTGAGAAGAGGGACATAAACTTATTGGTCTCTCTCTTCTCTTACCAACTGTGTGGTAATGCAACCTGCAATCTAGCAGGTGGACTGTGGAAGCAACACAGTAATATCAAATGAGATATTGGGAAAATTACTACTTCCTACTACATTATTATATCAGACCACTAAGAAGTGCTAAATAATAGGTATGGTAAACAGGTAAAAACATTTATTCAATCCTTGACATGCTCACCCACACACTTACCTATCACCTGAGCTCTGTACCACAGCTTATCATCTAAACGGGCAACACAGGATTGTCCAATCACAGGGCAGTAGATGCTGAGCTTGTCTTCTTCAAGCAATGCAAGATCATTGTAGAACTCTTGAAGCTTGGCTGAGAACAACATGAACTCCATGTTGTCAACCTG